ACTCCGTTCTGAGCACTCTGTCTCTAGATCTCACGAGAGATTGGCTGGTGAGCCTCATATTTCCTCGTTCCACTACCCCCAGTCCAAATCCAGTTTGCTCTTTCCCATCACGCGGTGCGTTCACGCTTTCGTATTCTTCCTTCATTCCTTCCTTCCGCAATTCTGCTCGATGCTGCCCGGAGGCAGGGACACTGGGGCAGAGGCAGATGTCGACCTTGCTGGATGAGTACAAGCGTATGGTGCATCCACCGTGGATGAGAGGTACAGGTACAAGAAGGATGGAGCAGATACCTTGCTGTCTGCTCCATCATCTGCCCAGTTCTCAAGTCCTGGCAGGCACGTCCATGTACTCCGTTACCCCCCCCCCCCCCCCCGGGCTAGAAAGTCTCACGAGTCACCAATGCTCTCTCTCTTCAGCCTTTTCCACCGCCGGGAGTGACTAAGGCCCGTCTGTAAGTCGTCGCGGATGGTCCCATGTACCCCTACCCAATGACAGATAGCCTAGGTACTTCCGGGCTGGGCTGCAGTTGTGACGTTTGCACCAAAATTACGTTGCAACTTCGAACCCATTTTCCCTCGTCTAATTCATGCCCCGCCGCCAACCTCTTTTGGGTTCTTGAGCAGAGCAAAAGAGACTGAGAAGGTCCGACGAGGACATCATATGTCGGCCTCTCTGTCCGTATCTCGCCTTGTCTACCTTAGCTTCGGTTGACTGCCATAACCTTTGCTTTCCTTTCCTCACCTCGATATCCATCCTCCTCTTTTTTTTTTTTGACCATACCTCAATCTCCCTCACCTCTCTCCTCTTTAACGCCGCACCCACCCTCGCATATCCTCTTCTTTTCTCTCGCACCATCATCACACCGTCACTCACACTCTCTCTTCATCCCGCCATTTTCCATATCCTCCTCACTCTCTGTCTCTCTCTCTATTCCACCATCCGTCTCTCTCCCTTTGCACGGCATTGGACATTGGACTCACAAGCCAGTAAGCCATCAGACGACCAACTACAGCTCAACAAAATCGGACTGGCCGGCCTAGCCCGCCCGCGCATTCTCTGCCATTTCCCGACTTAGAGTTTGCCCTCGCCACCGCCCCGGTCGCAACCCCGACCCCGACTGCGCAGCAGGCCACACTACCAAAACCGCCGCGTCTAGACCCTGCGGCAGCATTTCGCTACAACCCTCGAGTTTTCGATCCTCTGCCACCTCTTAACTCTGTGCGATCGACCCTCCTGTCTCCCTGGCACCCCGCGTGCGACCGGACTTGACGATATTTCGATATCTACCGCGTGCCCGACTTTTGTCCTCCCGCACCCTGCCGCCCAGGTCCATCACCTGCCGCACATGCTATAGGGTCATCCGAGACATCGCCTACCTCACTTTCGACTCACTCCCCCCACCCTTTCCCCTCGACCTTCAATAGCACCAGGTCGCCGTCAACATCAATTCGCATCTCGCAATGACGGACCTAAATACCCCAGACTCCATGCCTGCCACCCCCGATGGCTACGTTGGCGATAGAGACGGACTCGGCAGTCCTACGTCGCCTGGCTCCGCCGATTCCTCCGAGGCCAGCACCCCGCTCGAAGGCCCCTCGGACCCCCCTGCAGACGTACCCAAACGTCTCCCGTCGCTTCGTACCGTCTCCGATCCTCAAAATATGACTCCCTCCTCGACACCGTTGGGCATGTTGAGCAACGCACGCCGTCCGCCTCCTACCGCTTCCATGATGAGCATGGGAGGCGGTGCCATGAATGAAGTCATGGCAAGGGCGAGGGCACTTCACGCTCAGCGAATGGGCAAGCCTCCTGGCTCACAACCTACCCCCAACAACATGGCAAGCTCGCCGCAATCTCCAGTCCCACGACAAGGTTCTCCCGGAGGGCTGCCTGGAGGTATACCTGGAGGATTGAAGCTGCCTGGTGGTATGGTTCGCCCATCCCCTGGTGGCATGCCACGCTCCGCCCCCGTTATCCCAACGAAACCATCGCTTGCTGCCAGACGTGGACCCATGATGAAGCTTTCTGACATGGGCGGCGGTCCCTCGCCTGTCTCTCCCACCGCGCCGAAGCTTTCTGATGTCCACGGCCCCTCCAACAACGGGGGCGGTGCACCCAAAGGAACGACGGGATCCAAGATGGATGAATTCAAGAAATACATTGATTCGGAAAAGGGTTGGATCACATTTGACGGCGCTGCAACAATCACCAAGAACGGTGTCAACTTCGCCAATGGTACAGCTTTCACCATTTCGCTAGACGAAGTGGAGGTCATGGACGAGCTCGGCAAGGGTAATTATGGTACCGTCTATAAAGTGAGGCATACAAAGCCTAGAGTACCGAGGTTTGGGTCTGGATTGGGCGGTTTCAAGAACCCGAACTTAAACTCGTCACATTCCGACCCGTCACCTATCCGCCATGCTGATGCCTCAGTTGAGTCATCACCATTATCAGCATCCACCGAAAGTACAGGAAGGGTGATGGCGATGAAGGAGATCCGGTTAGAACTGGAAGAGGCCAAGTTCACAACCATCCTCAAGGAGCTCGTCATCTTGCACGAGTGTTTATCACCCTACATCATCGACTTTTACGGAGCTTTCTTCCAAGAAGGTGCGGTTTACATGTGCATTGAGCACATGGACGGTGGATCGATCGACAAGCTGTACGACGGTGGTATTCCTGAAGGCGTACTACAGAAGATTACCTACTCCACGGTGATGGGGCTCAAGTCCTTGAAGGACGAGCACAATATTATTCACCGTGATGTCAAACCCACCAACATTCTGGCCAATACTAGAGGCCAAGTCAAGATTTGCGATTTTGGCGTCAGTGGAAACCTTGTTGCGAGTATCGCAAAGACCAACATTGGTTGCCAGAGCTACATGGCCCCCGAGCGCATCTCAGGAGGAGGTATGACAGCCGGGGCCGACGGCACATACAGCGTGCAGAGTGATATCTGGAGTCTCGGGTTGACAGTCATTGAATGTGCACTGGGACGATACCCTTACCCGCCAGAGGTATCGTCGACGATCTTCAGCCAGCTGAGTGTAAGTCTAGAGAGTATTTTTGAGAGACGCGAACTAACTCGGTGATAGGCTATTGTTGAGGGAGAGCCCCCAGGCCTGCCCGAAGAAGGATACTCTAGCACCGCACACGACTTCGTCCGCAAGTGCCTCAACAAGATCCCGAAGGATCGTCCTACCTACGCGGCACTGCTGCAACACCCTTGGATGACACCCTTCTCCAAGATTGAGACGATTACCGAGGAAGCAGAAGAGGGAGAGGAAGCTGAGGCTGTAGCAGATGCGGTTGGCAAGCTTTCCCTCTCATCTAGCACCGAGGATGAAGAGGTTGCGGATTGGGTCAAGTCCGTGTTGGAGCGAAAGCGCGCTGGCCTTATCGCCCCAGCCGCCAGACCGGCCCTTCATGCTGCCCCGTTGCAGTCTCCGACCGCGAGCCCTCTGGTCGGAGCTGGTGGTATGCTGGAATAGGCTTTGTTGAGAGAGAGAAAAAAAGGGCCGAGGCCATGTCGTTGGCGGGGGTGGTTTATGACATTCACAAATTCCCATGCTGACCGAGCTGGCCTCCGTTGGCCTTTTTGTTTGGCCCCTTTGCACTTTTCACTTTTTTTTCTTTGTCTCATACCCTCAATCCAAGTATTTCTACGTTGCATCATCAGCATATATTACTGGCTGGCAAGGAGTGTCTGTTTTTGACAACCGGGGTGGATTTCCTGCGTTGCTTCTCGCGCTGAGTGGTAGGCCCCATGGCCTTTTGGAAACGTCCAGTATACGACACGGATGGCGTTTACCTTGGTTTTTGGCAATTTTCTTTGTCGCTCCCCTTTTCCTTAAATCATGGATTGATGGTCACGATGGGTCCAGGTCTGATGGGCGTGGGAGTTTCACGACGAAAGGAGCATATACGACGGATGGGACTGGGCGGCATGACACTGAGACAGAAAGAAAGAAGACTCAAAGATTAAAAGGCAACTGAGGTATCAAGAGAACCCTGAGATGAAACCGACGAAAACTTTGTGTATATGTGTGTGTACGTGGTCCGACTTAGCATGTAGATGAGGAGTATGATCATGTGAGAAGCGGGTGGGAGGCAACGGGCCCTTCCTGGGTACTTTTTTTCTTCTAACATAAAGAAGCGGTTGCAGACAGTAGCACTGGATTCAAATACGTGCATTATGTCTGTTGGCTTGAGATTGCAAGATCATAGCATTTCCGAGTTCAGAGTCAAATTCTTTACACAATAATTTGCCGCCCAATACCTTGAATATTACCATTTCTGCTTGCTATTTCCTCTATGTACCACCAAAAACGCGATTTAGAAAGCGTAGGATGGTGAACATGATAACAGTTATGTCATAGAAGGCGACTAGTCTTGCAATACCGGCATCCTATTTTATTACCCACCTGATAGTAAACCTTGAAACGCTGGTATTCTTTACTAGACTTTGAAAACCCGGTAGCCTTGATATAGTACAGCATCGTTCTACCTTGTGCTCCTAATCATTTCATAGCCCAGCGCTGTGAGATACTTCATTCAGTTGGCATATGCAGCAACGGCTATATACTACTCATGCCACAAAGTGCTCGAACATGGATTTGTATCAGTTCAGGACACACGTGATTGTGATCACGAGCGACACGAACGACACGAACGACGCGGGTAACCTTGCATATTTCAGGACTATATGCGTTCAAGATCGAAAACTTGAAACCTCTGCTTCAGTCGATACGGAGGTCTAGACAGACGAGAGCGCTTCCATCTTAAGCCGAATGGAAAGAACAGCACTTTAGACACGATACGGCAGTCCAATCGACATGTTTACTACGGCATTTTATTGAGGGTACACGTCAATCTTCCACCGATTGAGGTACACATGGTTCACACGTCCGCCGCGATGAGCTTTTACAATATTAGTCTATTAGTTTAAGTAGACCTAAAGAGTGACTATGTCGGAGCCGGGTACTAGTAGACGCAAAACTCCAAGACCATTAACATAGGTAGTCCACCATCCCACCTCGGGTACCTCATAGATATTGGGACACTTCCAAAACGCCGGCAAAATGCAAAAGAAAATAACATGGGCGCGTAATTACAACACACACGCTGGGCATATCATCAATACAACATCCTTGACATTGTGAAGCTTGTTCTCAAAGTTAGGAATTGTTGCTAGTCAAAGTCGTGGTGCTCTTTTTCATCTGAGAGGTCAACGACAGGCTTATGCGTAGTCCTCCTTCACACGGCGGCTGCTGTTAACGTCGAACGACTGGCGGCTTCGAGTGCTGCGCTTGCGGCTGAAGCGGCTGCCTCCAGAGTAGCCCTTGTCGCCCCGGATGCCGATACAGAACAGGAGAGTCGCAATCAGAAGAGCGGCCCAGGCGCCCCAGGTGAAGCCGAAGGCATAGGTGCCAATGTGAGCCTCACGGCCTTCGGCTTGGAAAGCGTTGCGTGCCTTGACGAACGTTGCGCTATCGAGAATTGTCAGTGAGCGTACATGTAGCGAAACGGTGGAAAATTGCAATATCGGGACGTACGTCATCAGAGCGGCGGCAACAGTCAGGAAGAAGAGAGCTGAGGCGGAGACCAGGCCGGCGACAGCGGCGCCAAGACGACCGCAGCAGGCGAGGAAACTGGCGAACCAGGCCATAGCCATAAAGAAGAGGGCAATCAGGTACATGACCCAGCCGAAGCGCCAGAGGTAGAAGAACTCGGTGCTGGTGGTGCCGCCTCCATGACTACCAATGAGGCCGGCGGGAACGTTGGCCGCATCACGGCCCCAAGCCCAGCCAAAAGCCGGGGCGGGCCAGGCACCCCAGCACTCGGCGTTCTGGTCGTTGCAGTAGTAAAAGTAGTTCCATCGCGTCAGTCCGTTGCGGGCGCCGGTGATGCCGGTGGTGTCGGCCTCAAGGAACCAAGTGTTGTCGAGGGGTGCGGCGTCGCGGACAGCAGAGAGGATGACGAAGAGCAGCAGGACGATGGAGCCCGAGAGGAAGACGATGGCAGCAGTGCCGAGCGGGGCGTCTGGAATGATACTGTGTCAGTCTGCAGTTGGGAGCATGTTTTGCAGAGCAAGAGTGGAACAAGGATAGAGGGCTCACGTTTAACCATTGCTGCGATTCGGTTTGGCTGTTTGTGGGATTTCCTGTTTGTCTCCGAAGGGTGGTGTTTGCGATTCTTTGCGATGGTTGGGAAGAGAGGGTCGGCGGAGACCTGTAGGGATTTGTACTCAGCGATTGTATCTTGTTTGGGCAGCCGGGGTTGCGCAGGAATGCGAGGTAATAGGGAAATGGTAAATTTGACTAGGGAAGGACAGAGTCGATGGCGTACGGGTGTGTACACACTCGCAATTTTACACTCGACACTGGGAGAGTTGTTGATGACAAGCAATGAGCATACTCACCAGATTCGCAAAAAGTGTTTCAGAGGGATGAGGGAGCTATGACAGGCTGAGGCGGGATGTCTCTCGTTTATGTTTCTGGGGGTGTTTTCTGTTTGATTCTGACCCTTGTTCTAAACCCAGCACTAATAGCTAGGAAGGAACTATAGGAAGGGTAGAGGTAGGGATGCCGGGGTTATTGAAGTGTCCCTTCGTCTGGATGATTCGTTTGACCGACTTGTTGGTTCTGTAAGGCAGGTATAGCGGCTCACAAGCGGACCGAGATTGTTACAAGACTGGTGGAAGTGCGATATTAGTTCATCGAGACCGAGCTGGCGGACAAGAGCAGTTCGGGGGCAGCCTGGGAGGGAAGAGGGAAGAATAAAGAATTGGATGACGGGCAGGCCATCAGATGATGCAAACCAAATTCAGAATTTCAGACACACCCGACGCCAAACCAAGCTCGGGAGTCGGGACTGTGTGTACTTCTTAGGGAGTACCAGGGTACGACGCCAAACTAGCGGGGGGAGAAGGAGCCCCCCCGGTTTGCAGTTGCCAGTGAGGCCCGACTGAGCATAGCTCCTGCGACTTTTTTGCTACGGAGGACGGATACTGGGAAGGAAGCAGCAACTAAGCTCGTGGAGTTGGGCCCGGTGTTGGTAGCTGCCCACCTCACCTGCTGAACAGCGCATGCGTCGAGTGGGCCATGACGACACCACCGAGCCACTGCCGGGATCCACTCGACAGTGCAGAACGTAAAACGGACTGTAGATACACGCGTGATCCAACGTGGAAAAGGTACAGTTAATCTTCCGTCGCACACGGTAGCCCCATAGTCAACCGAGACCCTGCTGGGCAACAGCGCTGGACCACCTCCTAGCGTCTGGTTTCTCCTGAGCCACTGTGATTCGTCGCGCACGCCAGTCACCGACTGCCAGCGCAGGGACCTTTCTCGGCCCAGCCTCCACCCTGCCACGACGTCATCCAACATCCTCTTCCAGCTTCTTCTCCCCCCTCCCCTGGCTGTTTTCTTCACGTACCGGGCCAACCACAACATCCGTCGCGATTCAGTTCGTCGCACTCTGACCCCAAGCTGGCTGCTTGCATCTCCAAGGCTCCATCATCTTCTTCGGTCGTGATCGTCAAAGCACTAATCCTCTTTAGGTTCCGAACAAGGCTGGCCATCTTCCGCTTTGATGGTTCATCGAAATAAGGCGTACCACTGTCAACTTGGATCTCGGTACTGGTTTAATACCTTCCAAGTATGTTTCGGTTCGGATGAAAAGCACATGGCCGCAGGTTCTTCGTCTGTTGCTTTAGCCCACGTCTGCTGAACTTCCACCCATCCGATGAAACCCTCACATGCGGCATGCCAAAGCGGACGGCTGGACCCGAAAAACTGCGCAGCCTGTGGCTGGGATTGTGGAGGATTTTTCTCTTGTCGACACCATGAGACGAAACGCCGGACGTCGTTTCTCGAGTCGAGTGGCTCTTCTGCTCCGACTGCCAGATGCAGGGTCTTTGTCCGTTCAGCAGCACCCTGCATGCCGAGGTAGAACATTTTATTTCCGCCATCCTTCACCTGCTTTCCGAAAATTGCGCGTCTGGCGCAGTACGGATACACAGAGTGCGCAACGCGTCAGGGGAGATCTGCATCTTGACATTTGAACCACTACCCACCTTTCTTCGCAAGATTCGACGGCATCATATCGGGATGGCTCTGTTGTCTCTCATATCTTGCGTGGCCTGGACCAAGGTGATGTGTATTACTGTGGCTTAGATGCCGTGCTGCAAATATTCCACCCACCAGCTCGTACACCGAGAGGCTTAGCCTGTACGGATACCTATGCTCTCGCGTCACCCGCCGGATGAGACGGGCACTCTGACTTCTCCCTCGCAGCTTGACAGACACACTGCTACCTCGATTTCGGTTTCGATTCTCGTCGTTATTGGGCCCCGAAATTGGAAGGCCTCTGCTACCTAGTGTCACAAAGGGACTGACAAATAAGAGACACCTGGGTCGTCCGCTGTGCTCCTGAGACCATCGGCGCCAGATCGACTCGGTGCATACGGTAACCCCACTTAGCTGTACGCCGGCGTCCGCTCGGCACACTTCGAGCTCCAGATGAAATGTCTTCTCAGCTTGACAAGGCATCTCAATGTCATCATCATGAGGAGCTTGGTGACGGTACAACTTATGGGAGGAATCAATGCTGGATCAGCTGTTTCCAACGTACGAGCTAGAGCTCGGCGGACAATGGGCGCCAAGCTTGTCCGAGACTCGAGGAAAGGAGATCCTGTCACTAGGAGTGCATTGAGTAATGGGAAGAACACACACAAGTGTCTCACCATATCAAGGAAGTTACGGCATCATGTCTTGGACGGCCAAATGGCACGCACATGCACAGCGGACACGAGCTGACAAGTTCCATAGAGATGACAAGAGAGTGACGGCTCGCTTGCCGACCCGCAGCAAAGCCACAAACAAACCGAGGAGGCTTGAACTCATCTTGGACGTCCACCTGTATCACGCTCGAAAACCGTGGGAGAGTACTGACGAGCTGAATGAGACATGGCCACTAAACAGGCCATGTGAAGCTGGAAGAGAGTCCTCCTTGACGATAACTAATATCGCTGCAGCAGAAAACGACCTGCTCTGGTTGCCTGGAGGAGCATGGATGTGACTGGAGTACGAGAGTACCTACCTTATGAAGGATCATGAACCCTGCGCCTATCTCAGCATGGCTCGTGCGTTACCGATAACCTAACTTTATCGATAAGGGACGTACCGATGTCTCAATCCACCCAGCACCACAGTTCCAGCCGGCTCGTTCCGCTAAACTTTGTTGACGCTCTGGGTAGCTTGCATTGAACTTCATCTCAGCCACCACCTTCGCGAACAGACTCCGTCAAAATCTACAACAACCTCCGATGACGAGCACACCGATGGGTACTCTTCGAACGGCGTACCGTCTTTGCACATCACCAACTCAAAGTCTCCCATACGCAACGAAACAATTGCCGGGTATCGTCTTGCGACAGGTAAGATGGAGCTCCTCAACGCCCATCTCGAAATTGGTCTTCCCTGAAGATGACGATGCCGAACCGAGCGCATTGCGACACATTCACCTCTCCGGCTCTGATTCGAACGATTTTCCGTCTTATGACTCGGCTTCAGAGTTCCAAAACGTTCTGCGCCAGGCCTTTCTCGACTGGAAGTCGACCCCGAAGCCCCGCGCTCCGTCACCCCTTGTCGTATCTTTCACTCCGGAACCTACGTACACTCTCGGCCGCCGCCAAAAGATTTTACTACCCGAGCAGCTGGCTCGACTTCAACAGCCTTTGACTGTTATCGACGAGACGAAGGTTGAGGCAGGGGAACGAAATGGTGGGATGGGTTCAAGAGAGCAGCAGTTCACGCCCAAGGTCATTGAGACTGACCGCGGCGGACTGACAACATACCACGGGCCCGGACAAGTTGTTCTATGGCCAATATTGGATTTACACAGTACATACTATTCGCACTTGACCGTCCGATCCTACGCGCGACTCCTGGAAGAGACAACACAGGCGATCCTCGCTGACGGACCCGGGATCCAGACTTACCTCTCTGAGGATGACCCGGGGGTATGGGCCGAAGCCGCGCGGCAGCGAACTGGGGGACAAGAGCGTAAGATCGCCGCCATGGGCGTTCATCTTCGCCGTCACATCTCGGGGCTCGGCACGGCGCTGAACGTGGACGTTGTCGTTGATGGCACTGAAACGTTGAATCCTTGGGCGAGGTTCGTGCCGTGCGGACTCGAAGGGAAAACCGCCACCAGTGTAAGAGCTGAAGTGGGCGAAGCGCCCTGGATGCAATTGAGTCTTGCCGGCGACGGTAAGGCGAAGAGAGAATGGTACGCCCGCCAGTGGGCTGAGGAGCTTGCCAAACGCCTGGGAATCAGCATTGCGCCGAGGACAGTACATCAACGACTGGGATGATAATACCATTGAGACCGCTCGGGAATCCAAATCGGCAACCTTGCCGTCTTTTTGTGAGTTGCGCTCCGGTACTGGTTCATGGATAAGCCGACCGCCAAAAAGTAAGATTGATGGTGACTGGAGTGCACCACGGGTTACACAACATATAGTATGCCTGCCTCTTCTCCTCTCCTCGTCAGCTTATCAATCTCTAAGCCACTGTTTCGGATGTCGGAGCAGTCAGTATTGGACCGGACCGTTGGCTATGGACGGCACGTAGCAAGGAGATACGCGCATCCCGTGGTCGGTCCGGGTCAGCATATCCATCCCTTCGCACTATGACCTTATTCCCGGAAGAGCAAGAGTACACGCCATCAAGTTCTGGCTCGCTGGGAACTTGGTTATTTCCGGCGGGGCGGGGGTGCGAGGATGCTTCACCACACATTGTCAATCGTGATACCCCATGTTCACCAATGAACACCATTTTTTGATATCTTGGCATATCAGGTTCCAGCCTGCCAAGCCAAGACGATCTCTTGGTCTTGTGGCGAAGCATCTTCATCACGCCTGCAGATGGGGGGCAAAGTGCTCTCTGTAAGGGTATGTCGACATTGCAGGTCACGAATACGATATTGCGTTATCCTTTACAGACTACAAGCTTTACTGGTTGTAGATTGCCATCTGGACATTACACTTAGCCAGAGCCTTGGCAAAACGCACTTATCAAGCTGTCACGCACCTTTGTCTCGTAGCGTTTGCTCCGGGATGCACCGAGAACGGGGTGAGAGGGGGCGTGGTGGTATGGGTGAAGCTCATAGGAGGTTGCTCTTTTTTCCGTAAGAAAGAGAACCACCGAGGCGGAACCCCTTGCTGTAAGAGATTTTACGGATAGATACTCTATCAAATATCCGTATCAAGTGATAGATGGAGAGTGGGTGCGAACACTCACTTTGAACAAGATAGGACCCAACTACTACTCCTTGCGGGATTTTTCCTGCTTCCATCTTTTTCTAATCTTGTCGCACGTATTGTTAATAGAAATACAAAATGCAATGCAATGCAATGCCCACCCCATCCCATGCTTTGCAATCCATGATATACCGCGCCAAGCCCTGCCTCTGGATACCCACATCCCATCACACACACATACACACATAGTCACATCCACCCGTGGACCTCACATCCAACGTCCCGCCTTTTGACGCCTTCACGCCATGCCATGTTGCTATGCCATGCCATCACCAGAGAAACATAAAGTCTGGTTCACCCACGGTTCAACGGGCGTTCGTCGCATGCTTGATGTCAGGGGTGCCAGGTGGCAATCTCTTAGCCGCAGACGTGATCCTGGGTAGCCCACATGTGCAGTGCACACACACACACACACACACACACACACACGGCTCACACCCACAACGACGTTGCAGATTCGTTTCCATAGACGGAGCGGTGGAAGTGGAGGGGGCGGCAAAAGATGGACCGTCACCTTTCCGCGTCCAGGTCGATTTCGCGGCAGGCAAAAAGATTCTCTTGTTTGCCTTGGAAGTGCTGACTAGGCTCACTCCTCTGACGATGCACAAGTTGAAGCCTCAAACAACTACAGGGTACAGCAGAGAATTGCAGTGGCAGCACACCTGAGAGCGAGCGATGCGCACTAGAGAGTACTATTAATTATCAACGCCGATGCTATGATGCGTATCAACCCGAAAAGCGATCCCTCCCGCCAAAATAAAGCCGTGAAGAAGGATGAAAGCCTTCCATCATAAATCATGATGCCTTTCCCATCTGCGTAGAGCGAAACACTAAAATCACAATGAGCCAAATCAAGGCAGGTTTTGATTCTCCCACAATGCGGGACCCCTCCAGAGACCACCAAAAAGTAACACCACCTTTGTCCCCCCCATTACACTCCTGATAATCGACAGTGGTGGTTCGCCCCCCCTGATGCCCATGGGCCATTGCAAACTGCCTAATGTGTCACTGTCTTAATGGCTGATGGTACAGTGGTCCCATCGTTTGTTGGGATTGCCTAGTGATCTGACCTAACCCTTCCCTTCTTCTTGGGCGCTGGCAGCCTCTCGTGGTGACCATCATCATCAGGAGTCCACTCCTCAGGATGAAAGTGGGGATTATTGTAGTGCGCCTTGTTGAAATGGCTGTTCTTGAACATTGCAGTAGTAAAGCTGGGTTCTTGGAACCCTGCCTGTCCTGGTATCACTGACGGTTGCGCCGAGTTGGTGTTATTGAGATGCCAGCACTGATGACTGAACCTAAGCTGGTAGTCCACGGGTTGAGATGGCTTCGTAGGGGCGGGCGTCGACTGTTGTGGACGGGCTGGCGCTTGAGACTGACGTCGAGAGGCAGGTGCTGTCTGTTGCTGCTGTGACTGTTGTTGCTGCTGCTGCTGCTGCTGCTGCTGCTGCTGAATATGATCAGAGTACGGCGTCACGAGCCAGGGGGACTGAGGTGAAGGGTCGTAGGCGTCTCGCAGCGGAGAGGCGGATGTGGGCGAGCCGAGTGAAGACAAGGCTGATGATAAGCCCGAGGGCGGGCCACCGAATCCGGGCAGCATGGCCAAAGGGCCATAGTCGAGGGCATAGTTCTGCAAGGAGGGACCCACGCTCGCAATCTCTTGCGAGTGAGAAAAGGTACCAACCCGGTGAACCTGGAGATTTAAGGGTGCCGGGTTCGGAGGTGACTTGTAAAGGATATCGTAGTGATCGGGCCGGTAAAGCAAGTAAATGATGGGTCCTAGAGTGGCGGGGTCCTGGCCATTAGCCTCGTCTGGGAAGCGGTAAATATTGACCTGATTTCCCGGGCTCCGATCCAGATAGGCAATCTCCAGCACAAAGTTGATGGGCTTCAGCAGCACTTGAACGAGCAGAATGATGCCGAGGTGGTCAATCTCTCTGTTTGGGCGCTCGATTTCGGCGCAATAGCCGATGATACCCGTCTCGGCGGGGATGAAGGGTTCGTACAGCTCCACGTTTCCCTTGAGCCATGAGAGCGCCAACAGTCGAAGGTGATAGATTATGGCATTGGAGGAGCCCTGGTCGTTGAAGCGCTGGATCATGATGTCCATGGCCAGTTGTGGGTTGGCAATGTTCTGGGCAACGTCTTTGAGTAAGCCAATCGTCTCGTCCACCATGTCCTCGAACAACATCCGATCGTAGCAGCCAACATTGAGGAGGTACTGATTTAAGCTCGTGATGCGCGCGGCCTCGCCGAGGATCTGGTGCTGGTCGCCATTATTGATGAGATGCTCAAAGTAGGAGAAGCCGATTGCTAGAGAGAAATATTGTTAGTTATCACTAGCATGATGGGTGCCGTAGCCTGACGATGTCGTGTTGGTAGTCTCTCTGCTCAAACGATCATGTGCGCCGACATGTGTCGAATGGAAAAGTGGCGTGCTTGAGTGAGGTGAATTCTCTGGAGCACTTTGTCAAGGGGCGGGAGTGCGGGGTAGGAGGAAGCATGGTGGTGGTGGTGGTAGTTAGGATCGCGAAAGGCAAACTCACCTCGCCAGCCGCAATTTCCGTCACCTTGAACAGGGCGGTAGTGAGAGTATGTCTGGGGGAGATTCTGCAGTGAAAAGGAGCAGAAGCGCTACGTTAGCCAGTGCAGCATACTGCAGGGAGTACGAATGCCGTAGGCAAGGCATGCTGAGAGGACTCACGATGGTCTTTGCGATGTAGATTTCATCAGCCTTGGCGTACTCGTCGGTTATGGCGTCGCTTGTGATCTTGTCGCCCACCAATAAACCCTAGAAAAGAGCGTAAGCCACGTCAGCGTTGCGTGTGGCAGGGAAAATAGAGAAAGTGATAATTCGGGGTTGACAGGAGACCCCAACATTGAAGAGGCATTGCACTCAATGGCATTGCATTCATATGGTCAGAGAAGGTAGTGAAGTTGGGGTGAGGGCGAGAAAATGAAGAAAGCGTGAGGGAGAGAGAGAGAGAGAGAGAAAGATAGAGCACTTGAAGCTTGGGGTCCGTGACGGGAGCTATGCGTGCGTCTCCCGGTGTCGGGGTGGCGAGCAACTCACCTCGAGCTGTGGCTGATAATCCCGAGCGGCGGCTTCTTGGGCGGCAACGTCGGAAGGGTCGCCGGGTTCCATGGCGGAAGGACGACGAGTGCTCACGGCGAGGGCGTGGGCGTGGGCGTGATCAGGAGCGGCGGCGGCGGTGGTGTTTGCGAAGCCTGGGTTGGCGTTGGAGTTCGTGGTGTAAAGGGCAGAAGAGGATGTTGTCGAAGAAGAGGCGCTGGGGTGAGGATGAGGAGGAGGGTGTTGTTGCTGGACGTGTCCGTGGAGGTGGTTGTGGTTGGAGTAAAGGTTGGCGTGGGAGTAAGCGTAGGACGAATGGGAATGAGAATGAGAATGGGAATGGGGGTGGGAGGAGCGGGAGAGGGAGCGGGAGGAGGAGGAGGAGGAGGAGGAAGAAGACGCGGAGGAGGATGAGGCAGATGCAGCGCCGGGGCTGTTATGGTGGTTAAGGTGCAAGTGGGCAGCAGAAGTAGCAGCCGAAGCCACGGCGGAAACGCCAGAGACAACGTTGGTGTTGGTGGTGGTTGGAGGGGAGGTAGATGAAGGAGACTGAGACTGCTGCTGATGATGATGTACAAGTGCAGCAACATGACTCTGAACTTGAACCTGAACTGGACCTGGACCTGGAACCTGAACTGCACAGGATGCGGGAGTGTTGGCGGCGGCGGTGGTGGTGGTGGTGGTGGTGACAGCTGGAACCCGGCCGGCACCCGGGCCGGGGCCAACAACAGGCGCTGTAGCCGCTGTTGGTGTTGTCGCCAGCGTCCCTCCCGCTGCTGTTGTTGATGCTGTTGTTGGGACTGGTTGTCTGTGCTGCTGCTGCTGCTGCTGCTGGTGTTGCGCCGTTGTTAGCGAGGTTCCAGGTCCGGCCGGCGACGCAGCACTCAGGCTGTGTGCGCCTGCAGCTTCCCCGCCCATCCCCATAACACCAGATAGCGACTGTGACAGTGAATGCGACCGCGGCTGCGACTGCGCCGACAGGGACAGCCCACTGTGGCCCAGGCCCATACCCATGCCGTTCAAGTGGCCCATGCCCATGCCCATCTGTGCCATCCCCATCCCCAGCCCTAGCCTGCCGCCGCCACCATCACCACCACCGCCGCCCATCACCAGGGGGTTACCCATGCTGTCCAGTCCCACCGACGATGCACCCGGTGATGGATTCACTCCAGCTCCAGCTCCAGCTCCAGCTCCAGCTCCCACGCCAGAACCTCCAACACCTCCAGCTTGGCCATGAGCTTGACTTGGTCCACGACCTTGGCCTCGACCACCAGATCCAGAACCAGATCTCTCTTCTCTTGCTGGCGACGAGTAGCCGTAGTGTGAGCCGCCAATTCCTGTACCAATGCCGACGTCGTGAGATGCACCTCCTCCGACACCATCGCCCACCATGCCCATCCTCATCCTCATCTCCACTCTTCCTACCCCTCTTCCTCTTCCTCCTCCTCCTCCTCCTCCTCCTCCTCCTCCTCCTCCTTCTTCATTCCTCATCATCATCATGTCTTCCAACCCTGCTGCGCCAGCGCTGATGCCATAGCCTCCGCTGTTCTGAGACGGGTGGTCCTGCGGCGGGCCGCCCTGGGGCAGGATGTACGTTTGACCGTGAGCTTGACCGTGGGGATGAGGGTGAGAGTACGCGTTATGTGCCGAGGCGTGGAACGCGAAAGGCGTTGGCTGAGGCTGGAACATGGCCTCACTTGCGCTTTCGCTTCTGAGCCCTGCACGTTGGCGTCTTGTTTGACCGATTCAAGAGTCTCAACTGATGCTTCTGCTCCGTCGCTCTTGACTGTCTTTCCAACACTCGCCCAATATACCTGATGCGATGCGCTGCGCGCTGCGGTACAGTGCGATGCGGGAGCTGTTGGAGCTACTGCCTCTGTAGCTGCTATTGACGCCGCTATTGCTGACGACTCATGCAGTATGTCTTACGCCGCTTCTCCGGCCCTGAGTCGGCGTGAGGTGATTGGCACGAGAAGACGATGGCCAGAGACTGTGGAAGCACAAGGAAAAAGAAAGGAAGACGGGATGATCACTGAAACGACGAGAGAAAAGGGAGGGAAGGGGATGACTGAAAATTGGGCGAGGCGAGTGTGAGTTGAGTCGCGTCAAGTCGAGTCTGAGTCGGGGTAGTCGGACGATGTGACGGGTGCGATCCAACGAGCCAGACAGCAATCAGTCCAATCTGCAGTTCAGAAAGAAAGAATCCTTACAAGATTCCAAAGTCGGGTAAAGAATCTCACGGCGACCAACGAGTAGAAAGACAGCCGCCCCTCAACAATTCGCCTTACCACGCAGGTCCCGTCGAAACAATTCGCGGGTTGGCCAGAACAGATTTGTACTCGCCTTCTCTCTCTGTGTGTCTCTTCCACTCTCTGGATGTGTGTGTCTCCTCCTCCTTCAGATCGGTTCGGGGATCAGGTCAGGTCAGCTCAAAAGCAACCCGACTAGTACTTCCCTCCCCCCCAATAGTGAGCCGCTTGTATGCAGCTTGGCTTGAGATGACGAATAGAAAGGCCCGCGACAGGGGTGATAATAGTGCAGAAATTCGATGGCCGTCCAAGGGGCTAAAAAGGAACAACAATGTGACCTGTGGTTTTCCGGGGTGCGTCTGGCCCTTTGCTTTCCGCCTGCGCGGCGTTGGACGTTGACGTTTCTTGGTGCGAATCGCCGTTGCGATAGTCGCGAGAGCCCGTCAACTTGTGCGATCGACTCTGGGGTCCGGGCTTCGCTTGTGGAGGTGGTCCGATGCTAACACTCTTACTGCCTTAGACTAAGAGGAAGTATGTGCCCTGTCACTACTGCCTGCGGCAAAGACTGGTATTGCCAAAATGTCTTGGTGTCTTGGGAGCCTAGTCTGACCTCCTGTCTGGATTTGGAAATTGGCGTGTCCGGTGGTGCTCTTTGCCGTGCTGAATACAGCTTGAATGGGTGTCCTGGACCGGCTGGATCTGGATTTTGGTTCTTGATTCCGGCCTTTCGGCGAGCCGAGCTGAGGTGGTTCCGACGAATGACGGATGACGGACAATGTGGAGGAATTCGATGTGATGTGATGTGAGTGTGCAGTACCGTGCCGCAGCTGGAGATCGGAGGGCAAGGTAGGTACAGGTAGGGTAGGGCAGACGAGCCCGGTATCGCGGTTGTACGTGTACTGCCTGCTTGCTGACGATGGCTTGATGGCCGGGTGAGGGTCTGACTGCAGTCAAGTTGACACGATAGATGTTAGCTAGCGGTTAATTAGGAGGTCGAGTATGCTGGACTGTAAGCTCCTTCCAAATATCAATTTGCAAATAAAGGAAGGGAGAGATGAACGGCGAGAGGTGAGGGGTCCAACCAAAGGAGGAAGATGGGAGGACGGAGAAGAAGGGAAAAGAGCAGGTGTAAGTAAGGAATGGACGGGAGAAAACACAGGGGCGAATGATGATAATCAGAGTCCCGAGCCCGTCAACTTGTGTTGCGTCCACACGCATGACCAAGGTGGATGAGGCCCGGCAGACAAAAAAAGACAGGCAGCGTATCCGTATTGTATCTTGCTCTGGGGGTCAAGGTAGGTAGGTAGCCATGGTTGCACCAAGAACAGACGATGGAAGCTAGCATGACACAACACTGGAGTGATGGCACAAGCAGCCGCATGTGCAGGTGTGCAACAGCATCGGCAACGGCATCGAGGAGGCAGGGGTGATCAAGGGAAACAATAATATCAGGACCGCGACAAGGTCATAAGCAATTGGACGGCATCATCCGGTGCTGAAGTTGGAGCAGCGTCGAAGTACCTTGACGTTTAAACCTGAGTACCTATCCGTCCGCATAAGATAGGTAGCGTACTCAGGTCGACAGTGTTGAAGACTCGAAGTGGGAAACATCAGGTATCCGTACAGATACATGAATCCCATGTAAGGCAAGGGAAAACAGGGGATAGAATTGGGCCATGGTAGGGCACCTAGAGATGGACGGATAGAGAAAGAAAGAAGAAGGGAAAAAGTAGCCGTACGGCAGCCCTCAGGGGGCTTCATTGTGTGATGCCGTGGGCAAGTACCATGATGGGGTGCTGTGCCTCGCAATGGTTGGCTAATGTTCTGATACAAATCTGCATAGTCCGGTATTCGTACTATGTATGGCATGACATGGTATCCGTAGCGTGCTGCGTGGGTGGTTGTGAATTTGTGGTGCCAATGGTGGGATATTCAGAGACCAGCAACAAAACCATAGCGGCGCGCGCAGCAAACCGTCCGTGATGGGCGTAACGGGATATGGGACTGAGCAGGGGGCATGGGCATGCAGATACATACGGATAGACATGGGATGGAGTGAAATGGGTGGATGGAAACGTTGTCAACGGGGATGATGGGGAAAACGGGGACGGGAATGGATACGGATGTCCAGTGTAATTGCCAATTGGGGTCCAGTCTGTGGATGGTGAGTTGTGAGGTGAGGGCGCATTGTGAGCGAGGACAATTGAGAGAGAGAGAGAGAGAGAGAGAGAAAAACACCCCCTGGCTCATTTCTTTTCCTTCGACTCGGATGGATACATTGTCGAGGTCCATACTCCATAGTCTTGATGTGCTTTGCGGCTTGCTTTGCGGCTTGCCTTGTACGCCTCAATCTAAGGTACCTTTGGTACCCATAGATCAATCCTCGGCCCCGAATAGCCAAGTGTGTACGGAATCATCTGCCAAAGTGGCACAGCAAGAGCGGACGTAGAGTAGGGGACAGAGAGAGGAGAGAGGATTGCGGATACGTCGAGAGGTTGCGTGCATCATCGGATAGGTGCCGTTTCGAACAGATGACAAGACTCGAGGGTCGGGTTGAGGGCAGGCGGCAGAACAAGAGAGAGGGAGAGACAGAGGAGAAGTCGGACGAGATACAGAGACAAGAGCCCAAGCCCAACGATCCTAGTCTGCAGTGGGGCCTAGCTAGGCATGCGTCCTAGACTCCTAGACTCCTGGTCCTCTCTGACAGTCTGCGGCGGTCTGGCCAGGTCCGCACGCACCAGGTTTTCCCCAAATGTCGAACGTCGATTGGCCACGTCAATCTGTTGGACCGGTTGACATTCCCTCAGTCAACTGTCGGGGAGGTTTCCGCTAGGCGTGGATTGGTTGCGGGCAGAGGCGCAACATGGAAACTCGATAGGTAATGGATAGGGTGCCGTGGGTGTGCCGTCGTAAGGTAAGGTAGGTCAACGATGCTATCGTGATATTGCGTATCCTCACGGTAGTGCCATTGAAGCGGCCTGTCTTCCGAGACTGAAAGTATTAGTTTGTAACCTTACATGCCAAAGACGCTGTATACCTTTCTCTGTATCCGCACGTAGGTAGGTTCGAATACACACAGAACACCTTTGCTGGATGTCAGATATCAAGCATGATGTTTTTGGTACCTTGGAAAGCAGTAGAAACCAGACGTCAATCGAAAGAGATGAGTAATCGAGACCGAGTACCCTTGTTACGGTATCTG